TATATATATATATACACACACACACCAGAAGACACATTTTGTTATTCTTCAACATTTACTAAATATCAAAAGAACAACAACAAAAAACTCCTGACCACACATAAAATTTAACTACTTAAAACAGCATGAAATAAACTCAGATTTAGTGTACTAAACAAGCAAAACTGATTTTGTATCCCTAAAACAATGCTCATGTTAGGACCCATTTCCTTGTAGCTAAAAATATTTGTGACTTCTTTTTTGAACGGTTAGTAATCTTTGTGAGTTTTAAGGGTTTTATGTGTACAATTACATGCATCACATAGATCCTAATTTGAAAGGTGGTGATGTTTAATATGGCTTATTTGAAAACCTGTTTATGACCTTAAAACATTCTTCACTTTATAAGTGAGGAGGGCTTTTTACGAAACTTTGTATCAGGGCTTCCAGTCTAAGGGGTGCTCCCCCTGGAATGAGACAGGCCACTAGTTAAAAAAATTTAACTAATTTTTTATCAGGACCATGTCTCAACTGGCTGCACTATCAGGCAAGCAGCCCAGATGCCACAGACACAGATGCAGTTCTTGCACACCAACCTTTCCAATCTAACCTCCGGCTTCATCCTCTTGGCTGCATCCACCTGGTTCCCCATGTATGGCCTATGGTTTCCTTTCTTTACTCATTCCCTGGCTTAGAAGGTCCTTTCCTTACTTCTACTGTCAAAATACTACTCATCAACATACCATTTCCATCTGGAAGAGTTTAGGCTTTCCTCTGTTGGGGGTAATGGTACCCTCTTTTAATTCATCAGCCCTCCCTGTGATCCTTTCTTATGGAGATTAGAAAGTTCTACCTTGCTTTAGTCCTGCCCTGACACTCTTACTGAAATATAAATGCTCCTCACTGTTCTGCTCACAACATCTGGAAAGGGCCCTTACACACAACAGCGGGTTAATTTTCCTATCAGATAAAAGAGTAAACATAATACCCAAATATCCAATACTTGCCATAGCTAAACACTAGGAAACTTCATGTAGAGATCTCTGCAAAACAGTATTGAATTCCAAAATCACAAATAAGATTCAGTCTTACTGAACAAATCTTGCTACCTAAAATTACATTATTTCAATGTCCGAAGAAACAAAAAAGGTAGTCTGATATCCCAGGCAGAGAATTCTGAGAAAATAATCCTGAAGGCACAGGTAGTTCCTGTACAGAGAGGTTTCATTTCAGCTGTACTTTTTGGTCATTTTGGACTTTAATGCACCAACTCAACATTTTACTGAGAGGCTTGTCCTGCTTCCCAATTAACAGGGCAATACACAAACAAAAAGGAAGTCAGTAATAACCGATTTTGGATATAAAAGTGCAGTGAGTTAGGTTTTAGGCCCATGGTTCCTACATGTGGAGCTGCATAAATGGGGCTCTCTCCCCCATAGAGCCTACAGAGAAGAGGCAAAAAGCATAAAGGTCAAACAAGTGGTGAATGGACAGATCATCAGGAGCCCAAGATCTAAAGGGCTCTTTCATCAATCCCTAGCCATAGGGAAGAAATACTTCAACAATACTTCCTTTCCTAAAGGAAACAAAAAAACTGAATTATGAAAGGCAACATTAAAAAAGCATCAGTGGTGCATCTTAGAAAAATTATTAGCGAGATTTAAGTCTCAACCCCCTACTTTGTTTCAAAAGTGTTTTCTCATAATACTAAGCACATTCCAAATAGCTTCCATCTGCCAAGAACTTACCAACTGCACCTCCCCTGCTCAGCAAACAGGGTGAAAAATCAATGCCAAGGGAACCTACATCCCTTCATTTTGGAAGTAAATTGCAAACATCTACCTTGCTAGGCATTTATCCACAGGGCAAGTAGTTCCTAAATGAATTTAGGAAGTGAACATGACCCAAGGGAAAGCAGGAGAGGCAAAACAAAGAGGAGAATGGGTGAATATAGATTTAAAGGAAAAAGTCAGAGAAACAAAAAAGGCAAGAATTCATTTGGGAAGAAAATGAAAAGCAAAGGGCAATACAAAAAGTAACAGCAAAAGAGAAGAAAAAATAATACTCCACCCTAAAGATAAATGACTAGAAAAGGAAAGTGAGGAGTAGCAAAAAATAGAGTCCAGATGATTTGATTAACTTTAAAAATTCTCTTACTGTGACTTTTAAGACTGATTGGGTTCGGAGTTTGGAATCCTAGGAAAGGAAACGGTCTAGCAATGGAGAAACAAGGTGAGACAATGCTGAAAAGTAAAGAGACCCTCCTTCCTAAGCTCTAGATAGGCATCAGGTAGGGCTGGATCAAGGACAACGCTGGTGATACGCGGGGCTCCCGGAAGGGCTGAGAGAGACAACAATCACGCTGATTCACTTGTCTGTGGGAAATCGAAGATTCCTCGTGGGCTCCGGAGAGACTACAGCGAACCCCCACCCCCACCCTAGGGGGAGCCTGCGAGGCCGGACTAACAAACAGATGGGCCCTCGGAGCAGGAGCAAGAGAGGCGAAGTATTCTCGGGAGCCGGCCAGACCCGACGGGGACCCCGAAGGGGCAAAAGGAACGCAGCGACCAGGGTCAAGGGCGGTGTCGCCAGGGGCCCCCCGCACGCCCTTCGCCAAGCCGGTACTCACCGATGCCGAGCCCTACAACCAGGCGGCCGGCGAGCAGCGTCTCCTTGTTGTTCGCCGCAGCCAGCACCGTGGAGCCGGCGGTGAAGAGGGCACTGGCCAGCAGGATGGCGGCGCGGCGGCCGAAGACGCCGTTGAGGGCCCCGCCAGCCAGCGCCGAGACTGCGGCCGCCCCCACCGTGCTGGACACGAGCAGCTCCTGCCACAGCGCGTCCAGGCTGAGCTGCCGCTTGAGCAGCAGCATGGCCCCCGACACCACCCCGGTGTCATAGCCGAACAGGAAGCCGCCCAGCGCGGAGAAGACTGCCACCACGTACACGAAGGCGGGGGTCTCATCCTGCTGGAACTGCCTCCGCGCCGCGCGCTCCAGGTCCCCGACGCCGCCGCCGCCCGAGCCCTGCAGGCTGGCGCTGGACTCGGCGGCCGCCAGGAGGCTGCGCTCCCCAGCCGTGCTCGCCGCGTCCGGCTCCTGCTGCTTCCTGCGCCGCTCGCCCATGAGGCTGCTCAGGCTCCGCAGCGTGTACTCCACATTCTCGCTTGCCTTGCGGGACATAGGGCAGGGGCCCGGGGCTGCCCGGGGGGACGAGGCTCCGCGGGCCGGCGGTCTCGGAGGGCTAGACAGCCCGAGCGGGCACAAGGAACCGCTGCCGCCGCCTTCCTCCTCCCGGCTCCCGCTCCGACTGCCACGGCAGCAGCAGCAGCCGCCGCCGCGGCCGCTCCGGGGAGAAAGTTGCTGCCCGCCGAGCCCCGGCGCTGCGGAGTTGGAGCCTGGCGGGTCTCACTCGAGACTCACGCCCCGCGCCTGCCGAGCTGGCGCTGCAGAGCTAGCGGGAGGTGGGGCCGCGGGTCACGTGCAGCCCCAGCCGGCAGGGCCTGGCCGGAGACGCTCCGCCCCCTCCCCGGGCGGGGCCAACCTGAGCCCGCCCCGATCCCTAAAACCCACCCCCAGGTCGATCGCGACCTCTGACCTAGGCTCCTTCTTACGTGGCTCTCGCATCCTTACAGCTTTAAGCCCCCTAGTTTGGGGGCCGCAACTGGGTAGCAAGCCAATGTTTGAATGCCGGGTACTAGGCTTTCAGACCCGGAGAAACCGCCTACGATGATTGCACGGTTTGGAAAGGCAAGGAGAGAACCACTTATAAAAGCCTGAGGATGGTCAAGGCTGGAAAGGGCCTAGGAAAAAATATCCTGTTATGGCATATAGCAAGTGCCCTTCCTTACTTTTATAATATTGTGACAAAAATGGGTCTGTTCTGGAGCAATTAAGTTTCTTATCGCCAGTCCTTCCTCAACTTATGCTTATTTTAAAGGCACAGTACATCTTATTTCTTTGAGGACAGAGATAATGAATCTCCCCAGGTGAATCCCAAACTTCCTTCCATGGATCCCTGATATGTAAAAGAAAATTCACATTTATACATTACACATTACAAAGTAAACCCAATATTTGATGTGATTTAAGGTTTAAGAGGAAATCTCCACCTAACTCCCCCAACATACTCAATAAAAGGAAGGATGTCTTCTCCCCTGAGAAGTCTGCACTGTTGCCTTCCATTTGCAGGGGCAATTTTAACTGCTTCATTTGCTTGAAACAAAGCAAAGATGACATTACTTGCCCCCAGTTTTTTAAACTGTTGAGTTAATTGCCGGTTGTTAGTTTTCTTCCTCACTTTGAAGTCAGTAGTAAATCATTTTATACAGCTCCACTTTAGAAAAGAAACTTTGTCCCTCCGATTTGCTTTCATTCTTCAGGCTCAGGGCAGGAGGTAAAGCATCATATAATTTTGTTCCTTATCATTTCAGTGCTCTTTTATTTTCCTTATTTGAGCAAAAGTCTTAGTCTGAGGCCTATTTTTTCATGCAGCCTAAAACTTGTTCTTGTTAAAGAAAAGGATTTTGTCATTTCGTTTTCAATAAAAATTTATACTATAATTTGTCAAAATTGCTTTCCTTTGGATTATCAGTCAAGATTATCTCCATAATATAACACTTTCCTTAACAGCAACAAGGAAAAATGAACTAATGGGCTTAGAGGGCTTAACTGTTTAAACTTATTGTGTGGCTTTAAAGTAAGGTTCTCTTATAATTCCCAGGGATCAATTAAACAGAGAGAGCTTTTAGCTCTGGAGCAATGAACTCTAATATTCAGTCTACAGAAAAAGATTCAGGTAAGAGAGCACCCTTTTCCAAGCCTGCTGTAATAAAACCGCGCCACCTGGTGGTGAGCCGGTTCATCGCTTTTAAAGAGCAGGACTCTTCTACCAGATGAGAATCAGCTGGTACTGTTGACAGTTCCCTCTTGCTGAGATGAAACAAACTTCCTTTTACTCCTGGCATGAACACCTTGGCTCCTGAGCATCCCTTGCTGGAAATTCAGCTTTTATGTCACAGAACACTAAACTACTTAAAATGGTTCCACTCCAAATCATCAGGGCACCTAAATACCTACAATCAGGTTACATCTGAAAAGAAATGTGACATGAAAAATCGGGATCAGAGAATTCAACAGAGTTCTTTCCAGCCCTTGGAGGGAGCCAAGTTCATTTTAACACTACAGCGTGAGTCCAAAGTATAGTTCTCTGAAGCCTGCCCCAACCACAGATTATGATGAAATGGAAAGCTAAGGATCAAAAGACATGAGTCCTGTCAGTATCACTGTTTTACTGTACAACTTTTGACAACCACTAAATTAGTCTGTTCCTTGTTTTCTTATTTGCAGAGCAGATATTGGTACAGCAATGACTCATTTACTAGAAATGAAAAATAATTTTAAAATATACCTAGTTGCTATTGCACAGTAAATAATAATTCTAAGCATCATTATTGGCTTGCAAGGTGAATTTGAAAACCCAAGTTTTAAGTACATTTGCTTTACAACCTCCAGGAAGAGGGAAAGAAGTGAGAGAGTGGTTTTAGCTGTTACAGATCCCTTTCCATTCATCTCTCCCACCATAACAGTTCCCTTTCCCCGGAGATAACCACACCTATCACTTTGAAATGTATCTTTCCAGAACTTTCTGTATGCATTTATATGTACACAGTAAAACACAAAGTTTGTTTTACTATTGTTTAGATCACAAAGAAAGAAAACCCAAATCAGACTGGTTTAAGCCAAAATTATGGTGGAGAGGGAGGATTTATTGACTCTTGTCTCTGAAAAGTTTTAAACAGGCTGATTTCAAGTACAGCTGAATATGGGCCTCAAAAACCAGGATGTCACCAAGAGCTCCATCTCTCCATCTGCTTCTTGCTACTTGCACTCCACTCTCAAATTCCATGTGGTGGCCAAGTGACTACAGCAGGTTCCAAGGTCTATTTCCTATTCTACTCATATCTGAGGGCCAATTAGTGCCCACATCTTGAACTATTAATAGAAGTAAATCATGTGGGCTTCAAGTGTGTTTGGGGGGGCATTCCCATAAGAAACCTGGGGTACTTTTTTGCCGGAAGACAGGCAAATAAATCCTGGGCAATAAAACCAACAGATTTGAGTTACCAAAGTAACTAGTAAAGTAACATGGCATAAAAGGCAAGTAAAGTGTTTCAGGAAGGAGAGGCTGGCTAAGAGAACCAAATATATTGCATAGAGATCAAAGAGAATAAAAACTCATATCAAATCATTGAACTTGACTATTAGAAAGTCAATGGTGAAGACCTAATGTATACCATGATGACTAGAGTTAATAGTTAATATATTGTATACTTGAAATTTGCTAATAGAATATATCTTAAATGTTCTCACCACAAAAAAGGTAATCTGTGAGGTGATTAATATGCTAATTAGCTTGATTGTGGTAATCATTTCACAGTATATACGTATATCAAAACATCACATTGTGTATCTTAACAATATACATTTTTAATTTGTCAATCATACAACAATAAAGCTGGGGGGGGGAGAGAGAAAAAAAGTCAATGGTGACTGCTGAGAGTCAGAATATTGTTTTCATGGTATTTTGCTGGTATTACATTCAGAAACCAAGTAGTAATGCCAGAATCCTGCCCTATTGATCATTCTTCCTTTCTGTACATACAATAGACAATAGCAGCATCAAAATAAATATATTATTAATAGGTACAAAGGTAACGGGTCCCATGGCTTAGTTATGAGGTTTAACATGTGCTTAGTACTTCCCCCCGAATCTTGCCTTTGACTTGTTCTAAGGAAGAAGAGATGGAATGAGGGAGGCAAGAATGGAAGGTAAGAAAACAGGATGGTCAGCATGCCCAATGGACAATGCCCGATCTGGATCTGCTTACTACATGGAGACATGGAACAGGAAATACAAGGAAGCATGAGGCATGGATGATATTTTAACACATATTGACCCTGCCCACTAATAACCATGCCCAACTGGGAAGAGAACTTGCGACACAACATAATATCACCTCCTCCTCTTTTGGGTGGGGAGGGCTGCAGCTCCTCTTCCTCCTCAGAACTTTTAGGAGAGCAATGTCAATTAACAGAAAATAGTGGAAATAACAACTGTAGGTTGCATTTTCTAGAAGTCTCTTTGTAAATGCAATGAAGGAGAGAATAGTTTAAAGAGATATCAGGATCAAGAGAAGGGGTAGAGGGGTTAGGCATGACAAATTTATTCATATACTGAAGTGAAAAGAATATATTGACAAGTCAGGATCCTGCATGACTGACAGAGCAAAGTCTCAAAGAAGGCAGGGAAGAAAAGAGCAAGATCATTAAGAGAGAGGCTAACCTAGCCATAGGGAAGAGGAGGAACACTTCTTCCTTTAAAAGAGAGGGGAGGGATTCCCTGGTGGTGCAGTGGTTGAGAGTCCGCCTGCTGATGCACGGGACGCGGATTCGTGCCCCGGTCCGGGAAGATCCCACATGCCGCGGAGCGGCTGGGCCCGTGAGCCATGGCCGCTGAGCCTGCGCGTCTGGAGCCTGTGCTCCGCAACGGGAGGGGCCACAACAGTGAGAGGCCCACATACTGCAAAAAATAAAATAAAAGAGAAGGCAAGCAAAAAGAAGAAAGCAGGAAAGAAGAATATGGCATTAATAACAAAAATACAGTGTTGACCTTGGTAGCTTTTAACCGAGGGACTGGCAAGTATCTACACTATTAGCACTCAATTCTGGGTGCTGTTGTTGGCCCAAGGACTTTTACTAGGCTAGTTCTTATAGTTAATTAATAGCATAAGTAATAGTATAATCACTAACAAAAATTATAAAAATAAAAAAGAAAGCTTTCATGTAATGGATAATAGGGGGATGGGGGATGGAGTGAACCTAGATGTTGTAAGCAGGAACACCCAAGTTCATATCTTCAATCTGCTACTTCCTTGACTGTATGACCACTTACTTATTTTCTCTAAACTTCAGGTTTCTCTTCTGTAAAAGTAGGATAATAATACTGTATCAGTAGTTAGATGGTTTCAATCTGAGTAACAGGAAATCCATACTGAAACTGCCTTATACACTAAGTGTATTATTACATAAATCTGAATGTCCAGAGGTGGCAATATAAGGAATGGTATGATCAGTCTTTGAAAAATGGTGTCAAAGATCCAGATTCTGTCCTTTTCTCCACTCTACTATTCTTAGTGTATTAGTTTTGCCCTCTGCTGGCTTCTATAAGAGGGCTCTAACATTTTCAGGTACCATTTTTCTAATGTATACAGAAAAGTACAGTACTTAGTTCCTATTCTCAAATGCAATATATTCCAAGTAGTAAAAGACCAACATGACTATGTTTAGATATACCTAATAATACAAAGCATAGTGTACCAAACTGGAGCTAGAAACAAAAATTCCAGTGGAACTCAACTTTGATGGCAGAATGTCAAAATATTCTTTATTGACCCAAATGAGTA